TAGTTAAATGAGTATAAACATATCTAGGAGATAAATTAAAATTTGAAACGGAACGAAAATTGCTGGAAAAATTCATTGCGTGAAGGACCGCATTCCTGAGAAAATACGAAACAAAACTTGTAATAAGAAAGAAATTTAAAGGGAAAGAAAAATAACAATAATCCTGATATAGTCTTTACAATTTATTGATATTACTTTCAAAGGATTACACAGTAGGTTAGGAACTTTTAACACGAGTTGACAAGAGGTTCAACATACGTATAAACATTCACATTAACAATGTACATGTAATTTTTATATCAGATGTCATTTAAGGGAGATAACTCTATTTTGTGGTTTTCTGCAAAAGCTGAAAAAAAGATAAGTGTCTGTAAAGAGTTGTCATTAATATACTTATCATCTATTGTCTTACTGGTATTAAGTTAATCCCCTCTTTATGTGAAGAAAGAGAAAGTATTTGGTATTTCAAAGTTGAAAGGTTATTCGTTTTGGAAATACAGAGATGTCAAATATTTGAACAAACATTGCTTTTGTTTTGAAATATATCTTCACCAAGTCGTTTACCCACGACATCTCGCTGCACACAAGAATTGAAATAACTTTAAACAAAAGAAAGATTTACAGGGAAACTCATGAAAAAAGACCAGGGAAGATAAGACAAAGTGTTCCGGAGAGGTAACTGTCTTCTGCTTCATCGACGACACCTGCTATGTCAATCTTGGTCAATCCATGTAAGTAATGTCATGTACCCAATTAAGAAACTGTCAAAAAACAACGGGACTAACAGGTATACTAACGAACATCAAAAACGTCCAACTTCATATTGCAAAAAGAGTGTTTTAGTTTTAGTGTGATCATTGTGACGACAGTAAAACTGCCATGGAATTTTCATAAGCCTGCATCTCTTGAAACCTTATGTTGTGAGTAGGTCAATCGCTTGCCATTTTCGTGATATTTACAAGCTTTAGAATATTGAATCAACTTTTACATACAAATATTATAGGTTCCGGATGCACGGATGTTGCTCTGCAGAAATGAACAATTACAATAAAGAAGTTGAAGTCATCGAGCTTAACAGGTGTTCCTGTTGACTTCGCTTTGGAAAAGGTCGAGGTATGCGGCTAATGTAAGAAAATCTGCCGTGACCTTGATTTCCAACAATGGACATAGTCAATGAATGTCTTGTTAATTAAAGACTAGACATCATCGATATATCTGAAAATGATATTGATGGATTTTTTGAGGATTTTGTGACTAGTTTTGGTAACTCTTCGAAAACGATAAATTCTGCATTACACGAAGAACAAAACCCAAGTCAGTCGAAAGAGGGACAGTTTGCAATAGTCTGTTAGAAGATCTTACCGCCAAACTCGACGAAGATATAGTCAACCAGAAATTCAACAGGAGCTAGCTTGTAGATAGAATCTGCAATAAATCATGTCTAAAAGCTACTTTACTAGGACAGCCAAATAACAAATATTTGAAATGTTTATAGCTGTGCATTGCATGTATAAATATATTTCTTGCGGAAATGGTCTGAATGGAAGTCATAATTAAGGGAGTTTGTTAACATCATAGTTGTCCATATTCCTTGAGAATATCGCTTGTCTTGTCGTCATTTTGATCTTTATTTAAACTTTTCAGAGACGGTCGCGGTAAGTTAAACAATTAATTAATAGATAATAGATAGGAAATAAAATAATCTCTGACGTCATATTGACATCATATAAGACATTATAAGCTTTACTTATGGAAGTTGATACTAAAGCAGCGTCAGTTATAATATCACATGTGTATCAGCTGAGGTATAGAAAAAAAACAACTTATGTGGTTAGAAATTTATACAAATGATATAGGTTAAACTGGAAGAATTTTCTGCTCTTGAGTCTCCTCCAAATACATCACTAGTCCGTAGTTCTCATTTCCCTTCTTTTTTTGATCTGTAATCAAACGATCAGCATTTAGCAACCCGTTAACCATCACATGTCAATCATATCAGGAGCAATGTACAGATATATTTCATTTCAATACTTTACATTATCATAAAAAATATCATTTTGGATAAATTATTAATGCCTGAATAAAAACGACAGAATTTAAAAATAGACGCACTTACAATTTTGGTCTTACGTCGTATTTCTGAAATAGTAAAAAATGCTTGTAAGCTACAAGAAAAAAATTAAATGTAATTTGTTACCACCCTATGCACATGTATATATCAGTATCTTTGTGTGTGTGTGTGTGTGTGTGTGTGTGTGTGTGTGTGTGTGTGTGTGTGTGTGTGTGTGTGTGTGTGTGTGTGTGTGTGTGTGTGTGTGTGTGTGTGTGATAAATACTAAAATCTTAATATTAAACACCTGCATATCAACAGGACATTTTAAAGGAACTTGAGTGAAACCGCTACTACAAAACGGATTTTCCATAAATTCAACTTTCTCTAAGTGCAGCGTTTTAAGTAGCACGGACTTATCTAAGGCGTAAAGTAGTCAGATATATGACAATCACGAAATAGATATCTGTCTTTCTATTATAGATAAGACGACTCTCCCACTGCCGAGAGGTCTAGGTGAGGAAGAACTTTTGTTACCTACCCGGCTTGTCAGCATTTTGATTGATCTTTGAGTTTTCGTGGCTGTTAAAAGAAAATATAAATGTGACATTTAACTTTTAATATCTATTATTTAAAAAGATTTTCAAGACATAAAGTACCATCTTCAATACAGCAATTTCGATTGTTTTTTTTTTGTTTTGTAACGACTTGAAATTATTGGAGAATGAATAACAGAACATTTTCGTTCCCGCTAAGCTAACCATTATAATCAAACATTTTTTTTTCGGTTTCTTTAACATATCGACATATTACATCAAAATTCAAATATAGGTCTTCCTATTTCGTTTTAAAGGAGAACTGATGATAGAAATTATCAAAGCAAGGTTGAAAAGGTAGTATAAAGGCAATAACCAAAGACATCACGTAATGAACGATAGAAAAGGTAGTATAAAGGCAATAACCAAAGACATCACATAATGAACAATACTTAGATGTTACTACTGGATACATTGATTCTATTTTTAAAATGCATTTATCTTTTCTAAGTACTTTTTCGTGGCTGTTAAAAGAAAATATAAATGTGACATTTAACTTTTAATATCTATTATATAAAAATACATTTCTTCTATAAGAACATTTGATTTTTCCACCTTATACACCGCCATACCCTATTTTAACTGAAAGAACAGCTGCTTAATTCGACATTTTTCTACAATGAAACGAACAGCTTTCCACCACACTGTATGATGCACGTGATGATTTCATTTTCCTTTTCAATTTCACTATTGTGAAATTTCCATTGCTGTAAAGCAACATTCCCATCATCTGACATTCACATTTAACAGTTTGATTCGATATTGAAGGGCTCACTATCACGAGAAGTCGTCAACTCTCCGTGTTAATCTTTCTTTTGTTCATATTTTGGCAAAGTTTTATGAATTTCCGACCACGTTGTGTTTTGTTTTAATTCGAAGTTTTGAGTTAGTAATCCGAAATTTTGAGTTTGTGAGTCGAACTCGAAATTTCTACTAACTGACTCAAACATTCAGATTACTAACTCGAAATTTCGAGTTACTAACTCAAAATTTCGAGATGCTAATAATAAAATAAAATACAAAGTGGCGGGATTACGCTTCTGTAGGATTGTGATAATGTTGCCATATTTTTATTTTTTGTTTTTTTTTGTTTTTTAATATCTATATACACTTAGTTTAAGGTTTGCACGAAATGAACTACTCATATACCCCAACTTCATTGCGTTCACTTGAATTATCATATCTTTTGTGTTAGAGAGACTTCACCTGAATGATTTTAAGATCAATGTATGCTAATAAACCAGGATTCTAAATACTACAAATTTATATAAAAAAAGCGGCATTTCATTAGCCAATATTAGAATAATGACAATAAAAGTAATTTCATGATATTGCAGTCAAGAAATACAATTTGATAAAGTTATCGTATTAAAGATCCATATTCAATCTATATATATATATATATTTCTAAGATATTGATAAATAAATTTTAAGGTATTGTCTATACGCATACCCGTCTTTATGTGCGCAAAATGTACATTTTTAAGTACCTTAACTAAGAGAAATAAGTCATTGTATGCATGTAATAGATATTGTAATAAAAGGCATTGTCAAGTATCCGGTATCCACCGTGTGTTACATGTTGTGTAAACAAAGACGGAGACATTTGACACATTTAAGCATGTAACAGAAAAGAAGCACCTTCAATGACAACAAGAGGAAAAATCTAAACATATCACAAAATACAGGTACATACAGAACTTGTGAGGTAAGTAAAGAAATCCTGGTCATTGTAACTAGTTGATATCGTTTCCTAAATCGACTGGGATTCTTTAATCGATATTTTTGACTGAAGTGGGACAGGTATGATATTGTGAAATGTTAACAAGTTATTTGCATTAGAGAGGATCAAACCTGCGAAACCAGGGGACATTTGTTAAACTTTTTCAAGCTTACATCACGTACCTGGTTATATAAAATATGTATATTTACAACTCTTGATTTTATTATTTAACATGCTTGCGCTTAACATTTTTTGTTCAAGTAAACTACATTGTATGCGTCCTTACAAACGAGGTTTTTTGCAAATGTTTGTCCAATGGACTTGTTGTTACAACACAAAACTTTGGGAAAATGCCGATTTGAACCAGTCTGTGACCACCCAATAAGATTACTTTTACTTTAAGGTCATCAGCTAATGTAGGTCAATATCTTCAACTTTAGCAGTATATGATAATTTTTAGCTTAATTCCTCAGAATCCATGCTCATTAAGCAGAAAAACACATAATCTACAATTTTCAAGGAAGCAAATATTTTGAACATTTATTTTTTTAATGTTTTAAAATCCCTTCCTCTAAAAAACTATTATGTAAACAGAATGATATCAGATATTGCATATTTTGATTCCTTCATTTTAGGCAATAATTACCTCCAGCATCCCTATTTGTTTTCGATGGATTTCTTTGATTTCATCTCGAAGTGACTTGTTATCGTGTTCAAGTTTCTTTATTTTCTTCATTGCTATATCCATTTCCCGTATCAAGCGATCATTCTCTCTTTGCAGACCTTTAAATTCTTTATTTGTTTTAACCGTATCTCTCCTTCTTTCTGGTTTTAGGTCAAGTTTTTTCTGTAACTCTTGAAGACAGGATTTTAGTCTTTGTTTTTCTTTTTCCGCCTCTCTCAGCTTTTCCTCATTTTGTCTTAAATCGGTAAGTTTTTCTTCTATGACACTTTCAAAATGCTTCCTTAGTTCCAACATTTGCTCTGACTGATCTCGTTTCAACAGTTTGAATAGATCTTGCATAGCTTTCATTTGTAACTGGTGAAAATTAACTTGCATTTCTTTGATTTCATCAATCAAACTTAAACTTTTCTTGGGAACAACATCTCTGTCGAGTTTAGAGTCTCTCTGTAACGACCAAATTCAACAATTTTAACAAATGTAATTTAGAGAGGGTTAATCTTCTGCTAAAAGCTAAGTACTGTATACGAAGTTCGAATTTATTCATATACACTAAAAAGCGTACGAACGACAGCAAAATTACGTTCCCTTCCCATGCCAATACCAAGATAATGGTATACAGCTGGAAATTCAATGATCTTGCAAATTCTTTTCTAAATATATAAGTGTAGCACATACAATGTCATTGGAAGTTACTTACGTTGGAAGTTTTGGCAGCTTGATCTGTAAAATACGAGAAGAAAGTATACATGTAGCACCACATTTAAATCGTTTCTTATTAGAAAAGAATTGATTAGAATAAAATTCCGTTGTTAAATCGAAAAAATGTGCATGAATAGACCCTGAATTTCAATGTTCCGGAGATCCTTACCTTTAAGTATCTGAACAATGTGGTTGTAGCCTTTTTCAGCAAGAACGGCAAAAAATTTGTCTAAGTAATCTTGTGATTTTTTAAAAACCACATAAAGGAGAGCTTCCATTTGTTGGTGCTCCACTGTCTTTCCTCTAAACTCTCTACTCTCATCAATGCTTATAAGATATCGTTCTATCAAAGTATCAACGATGTCTGTGAATCGTATCTCCTTCAACCTCCCCCAGTTATTTTGCATGACAGATTTCGTTATTTTGACTTCAGTCTGGTCCTTTGGTTTCTTCGATTTTTCGGCCATAACGTTGCTAACTGATTTGATACACGCTAGTTTTAGATATCATGAAATCACATCAGTCAGGTCTATTACGATAATGAAATTTAAATCCCTGTTTCTAAAATGACGAGTCAATCTTAACTGCCGTATTCGTAATCTAGCGTTTATAGCATGTGTGTTTTAGAATAGAACCCCTTATCACTTACTTACCAACCAATGCTGTAAAGAAAAATGCTTAATACAAAGTTAGAGTGTTCTTATCATCAAGTCGACAATGTTTATATGAGAATGCGTATCATTCACGAAACTTTAAACAGGATAGTAAATTATTTTCATTATTCATATAAAATTGACCCCACTTTTGAAACAGGCTTAAATTCTTTTTAGCGTTATAAGAGAACAGGATATATTCCATCACAAAGACGTTTACTGTTTTCTCCGTGTGCTACGTTGTTGAGCAAATGCGACCGTGTATTGATTACTGGGAAGATAAATTACCTTCAGATATTGACTAATCAAAGATACATTTCGTGTAAGAGGACCTTGGTCAGTGCACGTCACGTTCATTCTACGGCCTTTCGCACGGTTTTAAAACATATGAGTTTATATTTCACTCTGTGACATTGTTGGAATGGGTTTTTTTATCTCTATCATTTCCTTTTTCATATTTTCACTTTTAATTAACTGTGATTTCAATAATGATCGACATAATTTATGTTTTTATTATCACAGAAAAAACATTATTTTCTCAATTTCTGTTTAGATTGTTGTATCGACTTGAAATGAAGTCAAAAGGTTTGGACACCAAATATACATGAACCCTAACGATACAAAGCAGTAGTGAAACAATACACTCACTTATTGAATTATTTACTGGACCTTATGTCCGACTGTACGGCGTTTTAGATCAAAAGAATAATGATGAAGATAAGTTTTCGAAGCACTGACTTAAAAATTGAGGAACTCCTTGTATTTTAACAATCTGACAATCTAATAAATATGAAGGTCAGAAAATGAGAACATGTATCTATGATCGAAAGTGTTAAGCCATGTTTTCTTATCATATTATAATGTTTTATCAGAAAATATTTAGATCTATAACGATGAGCTTTGGTACGGGGTGAACAAACTACGACGATTGATCTCTAATTAAAAAAAAAAACACGATTTTTTAATGTGGATGTAAAATTATACAACCAGTAGTTGAGTAGCATTGAGAAACGGATTCGCACCAAATATCAAGGTTAAAATTCAAATGAACGCGAAGTTTCTTTGGAATTGCGTATACGAAATTAAGTAAGAGTTAACAGTGACTCTAAACACAAATTGCAACATGCTTATGATGAATGAATTCAATTTTTTTCATTAACTCTATGTTGTAAAGTCAAATACGATGTTCAATCACGAAACATTTGTGAAAATATGTGTTTATGTTTAAGCAATTGTCATGTAAAGGTCCAGGTGCGACACGCCACTTGGCCATAATGTACCATTATAGCAATTCCTAACGATGCTTCTAACATAAAGTATGTGGACAACAGCTCAGTCGTAAATTGATCTGTGCATATATCTATATTGGCCTTATCTGCTGGCTTTAAGTTGAAGACTAGGTACAGTATTGGAATAATTTACTTTTGGTAGTACATTGATGTTGTCAACGATCCTTATAGAAACAAAATTCTAGATCATCTTCGTCTGATGCAGGTTAAACAATTTATCAAGAAACAACACTGTGGACATGGAACCTCGAGACAGCTCAAGCAAACAATGATGAAATTACCGATTTTTGTGCAAGAAGTTGTCAACTGACGAACAAACTCGTAACACATGGTGCAGGTTGATTAAAAAAAACGGAAAAGTTAAACGGTCGTCATAGTGATCTCAGTAAGAAACATTCCATTTCTTTGTGCGATATGAAGCTGGACGTGTTTTATGGTAGTTAGTTTGCCTGTTGGTTCCGTTGTACGATATGAAGCTGGACGTGTTTTATGGTCGTTAGTTTGCCTGTTGGTTCCGTTGTACGATATGAAGCTGGACGTGTTTTATGGTCGTTAGTTTGCATATTGGTGCCATTGTTTTATACCTTGTTCTCATTTAAGAACGTGACATTACTTACTTGGATTGATCAATGTTTACATTGCAGGTGTCGTCGATGAAGCAGAAGACGCTTACTCTTCCGGAACACCTTGTCTTATTCTCCTTGTACTTTTTCATGAGTCTCCGCATCAATCAGTCTTTTGTTCATATTTTGTATGTTGGTATTTTCTTGTTGTTGAATTTTTATCACATATCTATCAACACTTACATTCAAAAGTGACAGAACAGAAACCTTATTAGTATAATATTGTAACTACCTGATCTGTTTGGCAGTTTACAAAGCAACTGTTCATTATTTCAGTTTTTTTTGGTCTGGGTATATGTTTGTAGTGAAAATTCTGTTTACTTGTGGCATTGACACTAAAATCACACGCTCTGAAATTATCAATATCTAATTGATACCGGTGTAATAAGATAAAGAAAAACATTATATTAGCTTATTAAATGAAAACAGTTTTTATTTTCAAATTTTTCAGATACTGTTCACATATACATATAAAACTATCTGAAGATTGTACGTTTGTTGAAAAAATGTGATAACTTCGAGCTAGTTTGATATGTGTACATATCTCTGAATGACAATTAATTTTGAATCCATCCACAGAAAGTAATTTAAGATGAATAGTCACATCAATTTTGTGCTCTTAAATTAACATTGGCTATGTTTTATCAATAACGTTTCTTATAAACATATATTATATAAACAACAACAAAGAAAACATGTATTCAAATTTAATAAGATCAACAAATGTAAAGAAATAAAACGTATCGGAAAATAATGTTTTTTTTTTCTTTGACCATAGGTCTTTTCCAATGTGACTATTCAAATCGCAGTTGTCTCCCTTCCCTTACAAAGAATAACACAGAAAGTAGATCCACCAATGTTATACACGTTATTCCTTCATTCGTTGATCGCATATGTCTTTCCTGTATCCTTTATCGCAGCTGCATTCCTTAATTCATAATCCTAAATGAATCTCACCTAACTCTGTCTATGAGTATCTCTCTTCTTCACCAATAAACTACATGAATTCAATATCTGATAGCAGAGACATAATGTGATAATTGAATCATACTTGTAAATTCAATGAAATAATCAATCTTGTTCCTAGAAGCGTTATGATACATATTATCATTGCAAAAATGCAAGCATCAATTAAAAGATAAAAACAAAACGAGGATATAGACAGAAGAGGACATATTGTAAAATCGATTTTCGCATTTCTCTCTGACATTTGATGAGCTGAAGCCGATCAAGCTACAAAGAAATTAAATATTATACCATACGAAGGAATTAATGAATATCGCCTTGAAAAAACTTTGACGATATAGATAAAAAAAATTCCCTCCGTATTTATCTTCTCCTATTTCGTACTTCCTCCAGTGTCCGTGCCAATCTGTAAAAAAAGAATGTGCTTGATTTCCTTGAACGAATTCTTAAACGATTATTTCTATTTCAAGTTTACATTATTGTTTGTTTTTTTAAATGTTATCGTCCAAAGAATATAATTAATTTCTTTTTTAGATAGCGTTTTCCTTTTATATTTTACAAATAAGACAAAACAACAAAGACCACAAGTATTACATCACTTACTTTGGGTTCAGCGGCGTTGTAAATCTTAAAGAAACAAACAAAATTTTAACATTTTTATTGTTGAAAATGTAAGTTTTATTGTGAAAACTTCTAATATAACTATGCTGTGTTATAAAATTATTCCATTCATCAGTATGTTATCACTTAAAATATTTTGTGTTCAATAGAACTGCTCTTATCAATCTTGCCTTAAATGTCTTCCAAGGAAATAACAAAAAAGTTATTATTTCATTAACAAGAAAGTTATCATCTGTTTACATGACAATAATCTCTTACTTACGGGTTTGTTATTATCTTCTGGTTGCTGAAATAAAACGTGAAAAAATAATCTATATAGTTAACAAAATCATACAACTCGACACAATAACGTCAAAACATGATGGTTTAAGATCACTAGAAACAGAATTGGTCATTTGATTAAACTATATCATATCTTTGACACAGCTAGAAGATTGTGAAAAGACACAGAAGCAAATATTACCTTTAAATAGAAATAAATAAGATACAGGAGAGCGAAACAATGAATAAAGCGCAAATATACCTAACACTCAATGAATAATATGAAGAGAAATATGATCTATTGATATCGATGTAGTAAAAACTTATCTGAGAAATGCTCAAGGCGATATCTTGTGTTGATATTGATATAAAAGCTGTTGAAATTCATTTTTGTAAACATAATTCCATATACGACCTCAGCCGAATTTAAGTCGGAAAATCTTTTAAACATTTCCTTGATAGATCGGTATATAACATAAATACGGACACACCCCATTCAAATGACTACACACCTGTATTCTACTTGTGATACGACGTCACGTCGTACTTTAACTGTAAACGCGCCAGCTACACCTGTATATTTGAGTTTGCGGATTGGTAACGTGGTTTTTCATGAGGGCCTATAACATCGGTTAGTATTTAAAGTAGGACCCAATTTTATTAATTTTTATTTGTTCCTCACCAACCTTTTCTTAATAGGTACCACATGGATTCAGCTTAAGCCTGTTTCAGTTTGATTTAACTACCTACTGGAAGTTCTCTGAGAATTATATGCCAAGAAGAAGAAGGAATATCACGGTTTGAAGTGTGGAGTTTATTAATGTGTGATAAGTACAGTGGGTGTTCTCTTGTGTGGATTTGGATACCGGGACTTAATATCAACTATACAGACTAGGTTTATATACCATTTTGGTCATGGATGAGTTATCCATAAAAGAAGAATGATCAAGGTTGGCCAAATTGAACATGTTAAGCTTGTAAAACATATAAGATATGATGATATAACATTGGCACCATTAATACCTATTTACTTAACATAACGACCTATTACCTATGCATCTAATCCGACTATAGCTTAGGACATGATGACGAATTATCATATGTATCCCATGTTCATTTTTTTAAGTAATATTATATTTGAAATTATTATTAAAATAACATTGTTTTTATCATAGTTTATTTCCATTTATTTTTTTTGGAAATGATATATTATAATTCAGTTAATACAATGTTAAAAGATTCCATAACAAATAATGAACATTAGTTATCGAGTTTTCTCTTTCACTTCTGCTTTCTGATATCTCAATAAACATCATACTGAAGATCATTATTAAATAAAACGATTTACCTGTTATCACGATTTTGGTTGTTTTTGTCCTGCTTTATTTGATTTCGAAGATATAAATTCTCCTGTTTCACTTTTTTCAAGGCGTCATTAGACTCTCTCTTGACCCGAATTAATTCCGTTTTTAATTCGTCTCTCTGTCTTAGTAGTTCTTGAATTTTTTCGTTTGTGTTTTTCGTTTCTTTCTTTAACCTTGCACGTTCTTGATCAAGTTTGCTCTGTAAGGCTTTACGCTGAGATTCCAGTTTTTCTATTCTTGTTTGGTTCTCTTTCTGCAGATCCTCGCTTTCTCTCAATTTAGCAAACTCTGCTTGTATGAGGTTTGCATGATGCATTCTCAATTCCAGCGTTTGCTTTGCTGCCACCTCTGACTGATGCTGTTTCAACAACTCGAATTGTTTTTGCATGGTTTCCACTTGCTGTTGTTGCAATTCAGTTTTCATTTCCTCAATGATTTGTTTTTTAGATACTTTCTCTTTGTCGGATCGAACGGCATCACTTAGCTGGCGTTGGACGTAAAATGGTCCACTGTCACTCCTGCGCAAAGGTTGTCCAGATGTTTTAGGCAGACGATCGTCGCAGGATGAATCTATTAACTGTAGAATGATAAATAAAACGATCAATTAAACACAAACAAGGCGATGGCTGTAATAAAAGCTTATCTGTGTGTGAAATGACTAGAATTCCAATTATGCCTGCTTATCATAAAATATTATCAAAAAGCAACTTACGTTGCAAGGTTCGGCACTCTGATCTGTGGAGGGAAAAGACAAATTGTAATTGGTTGTACGATCGTACCTTGCTATAATCGATGTATATTACATTATTTATCATATTTTAATGAAAAAAGGCAGAGTAAACAATAAAATGTCTATTCAAAATAATTGCCTCTAAACGACTATAATATTTTGAATGAAATTACTAGCTATTATTATGACTGTATTTCGAATTCAATGAACAATATATCCAATATCAAGGCGTTATAACCACCTTATTCTAATATTACCTTCCCGGAGTTTCTGGACGATATAGTCGTATCCATTTTGGTCAAGAATTGCAATAAAAGCATCCAAGTAAGACTGTGATTTGCTGAAAACAAGATAAAGCAAATCTTCCGCTTGTTGGCTCTCGGTTTCTTTTCTCCGGATAGCTCTACTGGCATCAATTGTGATAAGGGATTGTTCAATCATCGAGTCCAGGATATCGTTAACATGAATCTGTTTCAACAACCGCCAGTTCTTCTGCATAGAAGACGTTGTAATTTTGATATCAGTATGGTCTTCAAGTTGACTTGACATCTTGGCAATGAAGCTTGTGGACTCCGTTACTCAGCACCGTTGGCTGCAACGCCTATCAGATGTTAATCTCTCGCCGACTTAAAGAAACCAGACACTAATTCAAGTCATAGCGGGTCTCTGTAGATTCTGCTTATAAATCAGGACATTTAGATAAGGTATTATACTACTAGATTATTGTGTAAATAAATGTTAATTTCTTATATACTGAAGTAATATCAAACTGTTCCTTAAGTAATTGTTTCTATTGACATTATGAAGAAAAATAGCACGGTTTAGACATAACGATATACCCTACAATAACTCTGTTTTTAACCTACCTGTCTATGTATTGTGTGCCTTCCGTGCAATTCTGTCTAACATTACGTATGTACATGTAGTATGCTCATTAAGAATAACGTCTTGTGTATAGAAACAATCAATTATAATACTTAATTATTTAACTTCATAGAATGAATCAATAAATACTAAACTTACAATTTGAAATATCTTGAATAAGTAAAAAGAGGCATTACATGTCCAAAGCTTGTCGCTGAGTGGTCTCCATAATTTATCATATTCTCAATTAACTAATGATAGGATCTTATAACATCTGATTTATACGATATCAGTAATTGGATTGTAACCAGGTCTATTGAAATTGTACCCAACACCTAAACGTTATTAGCGCTTTGTGGTACAACTTAAACATGTTAAAGATGTCGAGATATGCCCAGGTGATCATTTCGAAATTATTAGAAACGCCGTTTAACAGCTTTAAAGAAAACAAAAAAACTATTCCTTTGTTGGCACATCTGATTGTACGTATTCTTAACTTAACGAACTGTGTCACATGGTCAACGGCATGGGGCGAACACACACAGCCTGTTAAGGTCATGGCATCATGAAATCCCAAGGTATTTAAATTACTTTGGTTAAATAGTTACTGCTCAGGTAGTACTTTAAAAATAAGCTGACAGTGTATTGCTCAATAACCAAAAAAGTTCGTATGGTATTCTTATCGCAAATCTCACTTAACCTATCAAATTATAAGCTGAACACATTGGGATCATGATTAAAATGCATTGTCATTCTGAATGTTGTCTATTGCTATTTTTTATGTATAAATATGCTTTAATGTCGATTTAGCATACATATATCAATTAATCTTAACTCGGAAGTAGAGGTGACACACATATGTATCTAAGATTACATTAGAATATTGATAAAGATACAGTAAACGTGCACCAGTTGATGTGATACAATGATTTCTCACATAATCGTCTTCTTATCCAGTGAGTTCACCAATGTACTATTTTGTATATGTCACAAGTGTAATATACTCTGGAGCATTATTCCACTCCGAAATCGATTGTGATAGCATGGACAATAACATGACGTCATGAATTAAAAGTGACGCATCAGAAGGCTGCCTCCGCTTTGAATTTTGCCCTTCACATTTCACTTTTCTCAAATAAGTTCTATTGTTAAAAGTCGAGAAATGTCTTGTGTCATTGGTTAATAAAATGTAAGTCGGCTATTCATCTGTTTATCATGTGTGGTACTACTGTAATATATAGATACGGGTATATACTAATTATCATATATTATTGTAAATAAAGTAAACTATTAAAAGTTAATATGTGAGTTCATTAAAGTATTCAAAATTGTGTTCAATCTGACATATGCCTTACTGTAAAAAAACAATTTGATTAACTCGCTTAGTTCAAAGTTGTATTCAGTTAGACATATGTCAGATTTTTAATAATAATTTAATGCCAGAATAAGACTAGTTTTATAAGTTCAAAAGGCAGAGTTCCTAGTGTGCCAAAACGGAGACAAGATTAGTGACCCATCATAATTAACCATTGTATATCAACATATACGTTAGTGTAAACTCCATATTGGTGTGACGTATTGAATAGACTTGTCGCCATAGCCATTTAGAATGGAAGACAATATAACTTTAGTAGTAAAAAGACTATATATAATTAATTACGGTATTTAAGCTTACGAGATTTTCCTTTTCAAAGTCACTCTTATACCATTAATGTGACTGAATGTTACAAATATCTAATAGATATTCTGCATTGGCTATATAGATAACATGTGCCAAAGAAATCAAACGGGTATAAGATGACACCGTATGTATCTAAATAAAGATAATATTTGAGTTTCATTTATTTTCTTTTTTGGGTAGAGCTTTCACACATCACGACGTAGCACGTTTTACAGATGTATCAATATGTAAAAAGGGTCGTTAAAGAAGTGAAGATTAATGTTCATCTAACTGTGAATCCCTTTAATGGAGGTTATGTACAACTTGGTTGACATTAAACGTAAGATACTATATATGCAGTGCCTCCTTTTTTATACACTCATCCTGTAACTAACATCTAAAGGCCTTACTTGTGTCTCCTCGTTTGAACTACGTTTACATATAGCGATGTTGGCTAACAACACACATGACGGATTGTAATACATCATACAACTTATGATAACATTCAAAACTCACCTCCTGTTTGTGGTGTGTATGTGGGGGTTCTATCTCTTACCATGTTGTAAACATTGTTGTACAGTGTATCAGTTTCATAAGCGGGTATGGATAATACATTACCATGAAATTGTGGAGGAAATTGACACGCATTAGCTTGATTGTTCCTACCGTTAATTTACTATGGCATAATGGTATCATATTGTTACAAGTATTTACTTGTATTTATTTACAGTTGTGCTATGTTTTAATTATGTTTTCTGTGAATTTTACATAAAAAGCATGGTTTGAATGTAATTAAAACAGTCCTGTATAAAATGCAGTGGAACAGTAAGATAAGAAAAGCCGTTATAGACATCAGCAATACTATATACAAGAGAAAACATGTATCATAAACAGCTGCAATGTTATATAAAACAGCTCATCAGTAATGATATATACAATAAAAGGAAGCTAATTTAACAACAACAGCACTGGTATATAAAACCATAGTAAATACTGTATAGCTGGTAACGTTAAGGGGTCAAACTTCTCGCGAGTTCCTTTAAAATGATCGAATGATATTTTTTTAATTAAAACTTCGATTCCTGGATGAAATGTTAAAGTTAAACGTTAAAGTTCCGTAAAACAGCGAAGATATCAACTCCGCGAAAATACCCAGCTATACGGTAAAGAACAGTATAATGTATAGTTGTTTAGCAACAACGGACAATACAGGTGAAGATTCCTCCAAAAACATTTGCCGTACAGTAGTCTCTATATGTGTCTATCTAACTTTAAATTGACGGCGTCTATAGTCATACAGATCAAAGGTTATTTTCCGATTTTAAATACACTTTTGAATGGAATGGAATTTCATATACATGTAATGATCCTATTACAATCTCATGATCATCAAGTAATTGTCTCATATTGCTTAATCCATGTCAAATGTAATGGTAAAACGTTCCTGTTCTGTAAGCTGATGGTGTCATATTCTGCAGTCATATCAAGAGGAAATGTATACATCTGGACGAATTCTGGAGATGTTGTTTACCGTTCAAAATATTTATCATTGGCCACTAATGTAATTTCCTTTGTTTCCATCATTGTTTGCTCGTGGCTGTAAAACATGAATCAAAGAGTCAGCAATGATACATATATACATATACTTACTATCTGTATAATTTTCTACTATAGTATTTTATCATTTTGTTTAAAGTCTCTTCCAAAAAGAAGATTTAGGATCTGTCTTGGAAGGATAAGAAGTATCAACCATGATCTTCAGTTAACCAGACTGAGCCGAAAGCCTATAAAACACAATTTAATTAGATAATGAAATGGTCTCCCTCTTATCAAATTACTTGTGTCCACTTCATAAAAATATACAAATCAAAGACAGTCCTCTACCACTCTCTGTTGGGATACGATTAACACGATAATTTGCAGAAAATAGATCATTTTGTTTTGCTGGATATTGAAAAAGATGTACACACCATACCAAAACTTGTTTTATGTATTAACGTCGTCAGGGATTACTTACATCGGATGTTTTGGATTTCCTTGCTTTCCTCAATAGCTATGAGAGATCTTTCTATCAAAGTGTCAATGATGTCTTTGAGGCGTATCTGCTTCAACGTCCCCCAGTTATTTCGCATGACACATTTCGTAATTTTGCCTTCAGTCTGGTCCTTTGGTTTCTTTGATATTTCGGCCTTGATGTTGGTACCTGTTTGGGCCTAAACTATTAGATACCACTTTCAGTCTCTCATCGGCTGAAAATAAATCGATCCATAATATTAATTCTTTACGATATCTTAATGATATCTTAATCATGGTCAATAAAATGACAAGTAAATACTGTCGTATAAACATATCTTATTGAAGCTGACCTACAAACTCATTACAGGAAATCTAGAATTGTAAAAACGACAAAAAATACATAAATATCAACTGAAGAATCGTCTCTCTCTACATATATTATATATTTTTTAATTAAAAGGTGCTTTTCACTTGTATGTCTTTGTACAATGTATGAGATACCAGATGGTAGACCTTAAATCCCCAAGCTTTGTCGTACCCTGCATACCACGTTAAAAGTCCATTAAATATAATTAGTGCTAAACGTTCCCTTAAAAAAACCTAGACTAAATGATCAGAAGAACTACTTCCTCTTTCCTGGTCGAAACACATAATGTTCTTTTCTACTCTAGAATAACACAAAAAACACAACACATAATGTCCCTACCTACTCTAGAATAACACAACACAAAACAACACATAATGTCCCTACCTACTCTAGAATAACACAACACAAAACAACACATAATGTCCCTACCTACTCTAGAATAAAACAACACATAATGTCCCTACCTACTCTAGAATAAAAACAACACATAATGTCCCTACCTACTCTAGAATAACACAACACAAAACAACACATAATGTCCCTACCTACTCTAGAATAACACAACACATAATGTCCCTAACTTCTCTAGAATAACACAACAAAACACAACACATAATGTCCCTACCTACTCTAGAATAACAC